ACATCTGACCCACTGGGGGAGCCAGTGCGGAGGCACCCCAAGTCCTTCCGCAGAGCAAGTGCGCCAGTTCTCGGACTGCACGAACTAGAGTTCAAGGCCACTCCAAACCCTGCCTGGGCCCAGTTCTCCCCACCTATCTGTGGGCCCCATTAGAAGTCATTTATCTGTCGGTCTGTCTCTCTAATAATCAAGTCTGTCTGTCTGCCCATCTATCTGTCCTAAAATTGGGGATTGAATCTAGGGCAAACCTTTTTTATTTTAAGACAGTGTCTTGCTAAGTTGCCTAGGCAGGACTTCAATTTAGGATCCTCCTTAAAGCTTTAAGTTTACATCAATAGCAATATTGTTTAGCCTCTTATAAGTTAATGGGTAACTTTTTTTATGAATTTAGGGTAGGTTCTCTATAGCGTATACAGGGTCTCACTATATAGATCAGACTCGTAGTGATCCTCCTGTTTTTAGCCTTCCAAGGGCTGGGATTACAGGCATGCGCCACCACACCCAGTCTCAATTGCAGTCTTGGGGCGCATCCAGGGGCAGGGCTGGCACGGCAGGCCAGGGATTGAATCCCCAGCCCCTGCATGTGCCTAAGAAGGTGCTTTAATCCACTGAGCTATCTAGCTGGCCCTAATAGGTTACTTTTAAGTAGCTGATTGAGGATGCAGTTACTGTATATGAAAGAAAAACTTATAATGTCAAAGTAGTTATTCATTAGTGAATGGAAATTAGTTTTTATTGATAACTTAGCATTTCTAGGTGCTGCACATTTGAAATTGTTCCAAATAAGTTCTGCAGTGGTGAGTGATTAATAGTTTTATAAACTAACATTGTTTTCTAGTGACTGCATAAGAATAATTCAGTGTGTTTTCTGGATTTGTCTATTTTCATGTCCTATATATTTAAAATATTTAGGGGCCTGGGAGATAGCTCAGTGGACTTGAGTTCAATTCCCGGTACTGCAAAAATAAAATAATAAATAAATTTAAAATATTTTAAGATGATGGTAGTGTTTTGTAGGAAAAATAAATTTTCCTTAGTGTACTATGACTACCTTATTTGAAGTACAGATTTCTAGAATTTTGATAGTAGGGATAATAAAAGATCTGTTTGTTTACACTGTAGAAATGGTCCCTGAAGGGCTGGCCAGATAGCTCAGTGGATTAAAGAGCCTGCTTAGGTAGACACAGGGGCCGTGGGTTTCACACCCAGCCTGCCATACCGGCCCCATCCCCGGTATGCACTGAGACGGAATTGAGATTGGGCATGTTGGCACATGCCTGTAGCCTGTAATCCCAGCACTTGGGAGGCTGAAAAACAGGAGGATCACTATAAGTCAACTCTGTGTAGTGGGACCTGTACTAAATACATTAAAAAAAGAAAAAAGAAATGGTCTCTGAAAGTGTGGCCTTTTCCCTGAGGTTTATTGATGAATGAATCTTTTCTAAAGATTAATTAAAGCTGAATTATTCTTATAGATAGACTTTTTCAACCGTTCCCCTCCTGGACTGTAAAATACAAAATATTTGAGTAATTATTTTCTTAATTCTTGCAAGTTTCATTCATTGGTAACATCACGTTAGATGCACAGGAGAGAAGTTAATACCTTTTTTGTTCATTGGATGCCTTAGACAGCAGTCTTCAAAGTGGGACCAAGCATGGATTGCACATTTTTTAAGTGGTTGGAAAAATAAAAAAGGCTTCTATTCATTAATATGTTAAAATTATATGAAAGGCTGGAGAGATAGCTCAGTAGAATAAGCGCTTGCCTGGCAAATGCAAGATTCTGAGTTCAATCCCCGGTACTGCAAAAAAAAAAAAAAAAATTCAGGGGGCCAGGGAGATAGCTCAGTGGAATAAGTGCTTGCCTGGCAAGTGCAAGGTCCCAAGTTCAATCTCTGGTACCACCAAAAAAAAAAACACGATTATATGAAATTAAAATCTTGCTATTTATGAAGTTTTATTAGAACAAAGACAAGCCCATATACTTTTATATTTTTCTGTTGTTGTTTTCACAATAAAACTATAGCTGGATAATGAAAATAGAGCTTACAAAGACTACGAGGCCAAAAGAATCTGCTCTGTGGCCCTTCGCAGAAGTTGCTGACCCGGTCTCAGGCTTTTAGGACCCATGTCTCAAGGAACTGGTTGAAAAAGGACTGAGCCTTAGGGAAAATTATGCGTTTGCGTTTATTTGCTGGCTTATTTGGAAAGTGTGTTTAATTTCTGTGGTAATAAGAGCATTTGTCTTTCAGATTACGCCTTCCCGTATATTATATTAGTGTTATCCCTGGTTACTCTGGCTGTATACATGTCAGCTTCAGAGATAGAGGTAGGAAATCTGTTTTCCTTTGTTAAAACTTTTTTAAGAATAAACTTGAATAGCACAAATGATAAGATGAAGTATAAATTGTTTTAGTAATTTTTGGCTAACTGATGTCGTTTGGTAGCTTTGAGCTTGTTATGTAAGTTTTATAGAAGCGTGTGTATATTGCACTGTGTATTTCCTGGGGTTGTCAGTGAAATAACAGAAACATTACTTCACCTAATTTACCCACATAGCAAACATACAGTTGTTGAAATACTGAAACAGATTAACCCTATTTCGAAAGACATAGCTGACTTTAAACTTTTTTATACTAGTGTGCTCAATCTTCCATTTCCATCTCTATTTTATCCTCAATTTTATCTTGATTATAGACTTATTTTTGCCCTCTAACCTCTAATATTTGAATAACTAGGAGAGCACACTAATAATAATAATAATAATAATAATAATAATAATAGCCACTTTGGCTCTCCTTCTGTTCCTCCTCATGATGCCCTTTTGGTGCCTCCTGACTTTAGGGTTTCAGAGGAAGGCCATGGGCATAAGGAGCTCTGCTTTTTGTTGTTTGACAGTTTATATATGTATTTAATTTCAGTATTTTTTGTCAAAAATGTCTTACGATTCATTTGTAGGTCAGTGAGGTAGAATAGACCCCCCTATGTCTTATTTATATTTTTATATGTTCTATTTTTAGGAACTAAGCTATCATGAATCAAAAAATATTAACAATAAATGAGAAATAATGCTGTATTTGACTGTAGGGAAAATATTCATTAAGCTTTTAATCAAAATGAGTATTTTTGCATATATTTGTTTACATGTAATCTTCTGAAATTATCTTTCTAAAATAATAACATATAATTTCTGTTTGTTTTAATACCATTTGAATGATAGCTATTAAATACATTAATGTATCTTACTTCAGAATTCAAATTTGAGACTAAACCTTGGAGGAATAAAAATCGGAGACCTTAGGCTCTTCCAGAGTGTGTTGATCTAAGGCCTTTGATCTCTGTTTTAAATTGCTCGCCACAGTTAGATATGTGCCTTCTCAAAAGTAATTGTTAACTTTTTATAAAGATCAACCAGAAAAAATACGGGAACTATAAATGGTTGCTGTTTTCTAATATATTAATGAGAAAGAGAACAAGCGATGTGGCGGATGACACCTAGAGTCACAGTGACTTTTAGATAGAATAAAGTAGAACAACCAGGACATTCTTATGCTCTTTAGTGGTTTCTACTTAGGAACGAGCCTCATTTCTTTTCCTTTTCTTTCTTTTTTTTTTTTCCTTCTGTACCGGAGATTGAACTCGGGCCCCTGTGCTTGCCAGGCAGGCACTTACCCTACTGAGCTGTCTGCCCTGCCCCTCCTCACTTCTTTTTAGTAATCCTTAACTAGCATGTAAAGAAGACAGGAAGTTAGTTCTGACACTTATCAACTCTGGAGAAGGATTTGGGTATTTGCGTAAGATGAGGCATCTGATTTTTTGTTGCCCACAATTCCGTGTGTGTTCCTCAGTGAGCCGGAGACCCCATTCTCCGCACCTGTGAGCTTTCCTCTGCAAACCGTTCGCCACTCTTCAGCTAGCCCTCTGCCAGGAATCGGAAATCGGCCTCTGAATCCGTGCAAGGCTGTCCAGGTGTAGGTGGGCCAGCCGGAGAGAGCTGGCGACTTAGCTATCGCCCATCCCGAGCACGTTCACTGGCAGTTAGGTGTTGCTTTATGTTAACTTGGTCTTCCCAATTTCTGCGTATTATAGAGTTTGTATTAAAGATTAAAAGAAAAGCAGAGTATCCACGTGGTTAGTTCCACTTTCTTGTAGTTATTCAGCAGCAGACTCAGAGTGGGAGGGTAAGAGGCTGGCTTTGTGAGCCCGCTCTGTCCCACCTGGAGACTCCGAGCCACGAGGGGTCAGGGCAGGAGGGGCCCCGGTGTGGAATTCCTCCTGGAGAGGCAGTTCTTGTCACGGTGCTGCTCTTCAGTGCTTTATGACGGTAGCAAGCCTGCCTTTCCTGTCTCTAAAGTGCGGTGGCTGGACTGGGTCGTCCTTAAGTCCCTTGTGGTTCAAATAGTTTATAACTCCAAAGCATGATGAATATGGAAGTACATTATCTAACAGATTCAGCCTGCTAATCTGTATTTCTCTTTTATTTCTTTTTATAAAATTACACAGAACTGCTACGATCTCCTGGTCAGGAAGAAAAGACTTATTGTTCTCTTCAGCCACTGGCTGCTTCACGCCTATGGAATAATCTCCATTTCCAGAGTGGATAAGCTTGAGCAGGATTTGCCCCTTTTGGCTTTGGTGCCTACACCCGCTCTTTTTTACTTATTTACTGCAAAATTTACTGAACCTTCACGGATACTCTCAGAAGGAGCCAATGGACATTGAGCATGAAATGCCAACAAACCTAAGACATGTTCTTAATCAAAAAGTAAAGAAATTAAAAAATATATATTAGGACTCTTCTGTCGTACACGGCAACAAGATTATCCGTGTAGCTTGATGTTTGTGTTTGATTTGTGACTCAGCAGATGAATGATTAGACTTGGGAAAGAGAAAGTGTCGCGGTGCTGTCAGCATATTAGTACCGTCGCACACAGCCTGCGAAGACATGTCAACCTCTCTTAGAAGCCACTTGTGTTTCCGTGTGCCTCGCACTGGTTTTCATTTCATTATGGAAAATTTCACTGTCTACTGTCTGAAGTCTGTAGTGCTGGCGTGTTGTGCAGTTTGTTGTGGTGAATTTGCTTTGCTCCTGTATGGAATTAGGGATATACTTGCTGAGTCTGGTAACAAACATGGAAATAAAGTATTTTCATTTTTTCTATTTATTTTCACCAACACAGTATTTTGATAATATTGCAAAAATAAAGTATAATTTATCAGTTTTCTGTTTCTAGATAGTTTGTTGGAAGACATGTCCAGATTCTTGTTCCTGTAAAGAGAACAACAAAAAAGAGCGTAACTACAGAAAACTCAAGTGTTCTGACTTTTAATTGGTTTTTACCCTATTAAATATAGAAGTCATTTAAAATGTTAAGTACTACAGTTAGTCTTTTTCTCAAATAAATTCATATACTCATATGTTTTCTTTTTCTTATACCATTTTTTGGGGAGAAATATATGCTGTATTTCCTTAATCCCAAGACCCCTTGTGCTGTGTAGGACTGAGGTGCATCCTGTGACTGATGGTTTTCCTGTGTGTAGTTTTTGATATGTACACTGTGATGTTCATTGTCTGAAGACTTCAAGGGACTTCTGGGTGCAGCCTTGGAAGTAAAATAAAATATGGATTGAGCACTTACCCTAATCTGACTGCGTTTATCTTCTGTACCATAGAGAACGCTATTTCTCTCTCTCTCTCTCTCTCTCTCTCTCTCTCTCTCTCTCTCTCTCTCTCTCTCACTGCTTGATAGGGTTGGACCGATTTAAAACTCACATGTTGAAGACCTCAAAATATAAAAATAAGTGCACTCACTTTTTCCTTCGTTTTATTTATGCCTCTTGAAGTCACAGCAATTGTATCTTTGAGTTATTTTGTTAGTTTTTATAAATGCATTTTTCTTTTTTAAGAAATAGACTCTTCTTTGCATGCTTGCTTTTTTTCTTTCCTGTAGGAATAAAAACAAAAGTTACATGCTGTTTGTGTCCCACAGGCTTCGTGGCTGCTAGCACCCAGTAGTATTCCGAGTCGCCTGCAGAATCTTCCACTGGATAATTTGTCGAGCACATGCGAGCTGCCACAGATCTATCACACTGCATCTTTTAGTTCCACATATTTGAAGTCATTTTCTTGTATCCTATTCTAGCAGAAAAATATGTATGCAAAAGAAAAATAATTTTACAGGCCCTCAAATCAAGCAATTTTAAGTATCCTCTACTTGCACTTTGATTTGATTTCATAAAAACAAGCAGCATTCTTAGCCACTGGGGTTGCTAATATTAATAAATAACATTGCTATTTAGTAAAGCACGTGGTCATTAAGAACATAAAACAACCTTGTCCTAGCTCAGCTTTGTTAGGTTGTGACACGAGAGCTTACAGGACGCTGGACGCGTGTGTCTGTGCCACTCTTACACAAGAGACGAGAGATGTCTCTGCATTCCGGACGTGCAGGGAGACTTGGCTCTTTACCCTCCCCGAGCCACTCGTTAGCTCCACTTATTCTGACTTCCTCGTGTGGCTCTCGCAGGCTGTGCCCGTTAAGCCTCGGGGCAGGTCTGCTGTCACCTGGCCAAGTGCAGGCTGAGGCGTGCTGCTATGCTAATGGCTGCTGCTGTGATCTAAGGAGAGGGCTGCCTCTGCAGGGCAGCGATGACATTGTCCCAGAGGACAGGAAGAGAAGTAAGGCTTCTCCAGAAGAGCACTGTGTGAGAGCAAATCGAGAATTTCAAAAACAGGAACACCGCTGGCTCAGAGGGGGTCAGGTGATTCAAGACCCCAACTTTACTGTGACCTCCCCAGGAGGTGGGTAGACTTCAGAGCTCTGATTGCTACTTCGGGTCTGATGTTTATAACTCTTACTGGCATTTTACAGTAAGAGACAGTGGAGCTTGGAGACGAGGCTGGGACTGAGTCACCTTGCTCTAAAGCCCACATGGAGCAGGTCCTCAGCAGCAGAGCAGCAGCAGCAGGTGAAGGTATGGGAAGCCAGGAATTTCACTCAGCTCTTAGCTGTTTCCATTTCTAGTCCTCCAACGATCTCTCCAGATTCCTTCACCGGGTTGTTCTTCCGTGCTTTCTAGGCCCGGCATCCAGCATACTTAGGATTTTATATGCCTTTCTGTGATGCTGCTTCTGCCGCTACTGTAGGTGTGGGCGAGCTGAGCCTGGGGTAATTCTGCTGCGGTGTAACCTCAGTAGTTGCTACAGAGAACTCATGGCTGGTGAAGCCAGAAATATGGTCTACCCCTCACAGAAAGAATTAGCCAAGCCTTGTGCTCTGTGGGTTCTGTTTGGGCAGGACCGTATCTGTTTCTTTCTGTAGTGCCTCAAGTGTCTGGCATGCTTCTTGCCACAGACGAGGCATTCAAAAATGTGAGTTAGGTACAACTAAGTATTAGCACCTAAGGTGGAACCTAAACGAGACGCTTCAGGTACTTGTGTGCCCGGTTATCAACATTTCAGTAGCTACATACAGCATGAAGTTGGAGTTGTGTCAGTCAATGAATCATCTTTTGATGGAGACTATTTTCAGGAAGCAAATATTGTGTATTTTTTCATAAAATTAAGTCATTTCATTCTCTGAAAATTTTCTTTTCCTGGATGGATCACTGTACACACAGCGTGTGCTCATCCTTCTGTGGCCTGCCACAAAGAGGTCAGCCTCTGCTCCACTGGGTTTCAGCCTACGTAGTCCTTGGGCTTTAGCATGTCCCAGCAGAGCTTGTGTCTTGGTGTGACCACAAACTCATCCACTAAACTCTACTTCAGAGGTTGACACATGTTTTTCTATAAAGGGTCAGAGTTTAGAATAGTGTCTAATAGGAAACTCTATTGCAGTAATTAATGACAAAGTTGACCTGTCTCTGGAGAGGTCATGTGCTTGCTTAGGAGACAAGCATGTTGGACAGGATGTCTCATCTGGAAAGCTGTTTTTAGCGCTAACTTGATAGAAAAAGAAAAAAGAATAACATTATACTCAGATTTGTTCTGTTTAAGAAGACCAGGATATGTGTAGAGTTCAGTAAAGAACTCTGAAAAAAAATTTTTTTTTGAGACAGGCTCACCTGAAACTCATGGTGATCCTCCGGCTCAACCTCCCAAGGGCTGAGAGTGCAGGCATGTGCCACCATGCATGGTTCTAAAATATGTTCTTAAAGAGATTTTTTTTTAAAATCACACAAAGCTAAGATTCACTTATCTAGAAAAATGCCTTAGGAGGGAAGGCGAATGGACAGATACTTTTTGGACTCCACTATTGAACCCACTAGTGAATGTCAACATTGAGTTGAATGCTTGTGACATTACTGGGGTTGAGTTTCTTGGGACTTCTTATTCTGTCCTGTGGATGTCACCAGCTATATAGCAAAATAGCAGGAAGGCGTACATTACCAAACACTGAGGTGGTACTTACGAAGATCTGCTGGGGATTCCTGTTTTGCAAGACTGTGTAGGTCCTCGAGATTCCCATGCAGCCAAATGCTGATGCACTCAATTTTTTCATCCCTCTTGCACAGCTTGTCTATTAGATCTCTTATTTCATGCAAGGTATTCTTACCACTGTGCACCAAGTCCTTAAGGAAATGACATGCATGGTATGTGAATAGAAATTGTTGCAGACGCACTCTTTCTAACTGGGTTATATCTAAAAACTAGACAGGCAAAGTTGGGTTTAGTTAAGTGAATGTTTTGCGTGTACAGCCCTTTGACAAAATTCTGTAAGAGCCTAGAAACGTGGATCATCAAAGGAATTGACTTAACTGAAGGACCCCCGAGCTGGGGTTTGTACGTAGGCACAATGGTGATAGCAGGGGCATAAAAAGCCAGTTCACTCTCAGTTCAGAGCAGTACAGAGCTACGGGGAGATAATGCCTCTGAGAAGGAACTTTGTAGTCAGAGAGGATGTCAGTTTTAAATCCTCAGATGTATTATTATTTGGTCTTGAGAGAGTTAAACTCCAAGCTTCCATAGCTTCATCTCAAAAGAAATTTACTAATACTCTCCTTGTCATAACGATTAAACATGGCTTTTATGTAAACTTTCCATATATATGTAATCTTTTAGTATTTAGGCAGATCCTGGGTTCAAATCCCAGCCTATCTGACTCTAAAGTGGGGAGTGAGATGGTCCATGGCTATCTTTGCCCTA